TTAGCTAAAGAGATTAAACACTGACAACTGAGACCTGGGTGCCCTGAAAACATTTTTTCCCTTTTATGTCCTGTCATTGCAGCAGCATTTTTCTAGGCATCGTCTGAAGCTGTTACTGGATTTCTCATGAAACTCAAACCTGAATTCATATATGTAATTCCTTATGTTACACATCTTCCTCCATTTAAAATGGCTAGTGGAACCTGCACTATTGAGCAGAATCATGTTAGATGACTGTCTTTTGATATTGCTTTAATTTCATTAAGCTTTTCAAACATGACTCATCTACTGCATGAGCTGTCACCCTGCATTACATGGTGCCAGGCCTGTGCTCAATCCAAAGCTGTGGTAAAGCTGTGTAGAAACAAAACATGAAACAGCCCCTGTAAGATGCAGCAAATACAGCATTGACTGAGCTAACATTTGCAAAAGAATTTCTGTGAAAAAGCTGTACAGGGCAAGTTCAGGATAGCTTGGAATAACTGTCACCCTTCCACTTTGCATAATTACAGTAGGTCAGGAGGAACTTTCCTTCCTGCTGAGTCCAAGAACCAGTGCCCACCATCAGTGTGTGCTGTCATGGACATGGCATGGCAGTAAAGCTGAAAAATAGTTAGAGTACAGAATTGTACTTGGGCATCAAGCAGTGAAAGCACAGAACATACTTATGTAAGAGGGATGACATGTAGAGCTACTCTGGAACTGAGGAATGCTACAGGATTAAGGAAAGCCTGTTTAATATGGCTGCCCTCTGCACTGGACTCCTCCAAGCCACAGAGCCTTGCAGTAGCTGATGGAAGCAGGGGTGCCTCCTTGCTGCTACTCAGTTCACATCAGCTAAGCCTGTACTACATCTTATCATGCAAAACCAATGCTGCCTTGACTGTAGTTAGTGGGGATGACAGCCTTTAAGTGTTGCTAGATTTCACTTTGGGCTAGTACTGATAATCATGTAAGAGTCACCACATTCACAGCAAGTAATCCTCAAAGCCATGTTTTGTAAGGATGCCTATATAAATAGGAAGCATTCAGCTGCTGCCATTGCCATGGCTTCACACTGACATGGCACAGGGTTTCAGTTCTCTCACTCATTACCAAGGTGCACAGACTCATCACAGTCAGTTTCTCAATGCATGCATGGGGAACACACTACAGCCACAAGAATGGGGAAGGCAAAGAGGAAAACATTGAAGAACATCCTTGGAGGGGAATATGCTCAGAAATAAAGACATCCCAGATCACAGCTGCCACTGCAAAATGAGGCAGTGGGGCCAGGGGGCTGCAGAGGGCCCCAGGGGCATTCCTCAAGCTGGAGGCTTGCCACTGCTCATCACAGTAACAACAGGTGAGTACAAGGCATGTGCATCTACAACAGAACCCTGCCCAGCTGCAGGGCAGCTTTCCAAATTGAATTGGCTGTGAAAGTCTGAGTGAGCTGGTAAATTAAAAAAAAAACTTGTTTCCTTTTACTGTGATACATGGAAAAACAGTTCAGGTAGAAGCCTGAAATAGAACCATGCTTTGCTCTGGAAGTAGATCTACTTCCCAGAATGCCTCACACTGCTATAATAATGAATGCAGCAAGAATAAATAAAATTACTTTGCAATAAATTGACACTGAGGCATTAAGCCTACTGCAGCAGGTTCAAGGGGCATATTGAAATAAGGCAGGAATTTACAGCAAGATGAGTGAAGCATATAGAAATAACACTCACTGCCACTTACAGAAACTGGCACTGAAGCTGTTGTACAGCATGGACTCAGACTGATTCTCTCTTTAGCATTTAACAGAATGGTCTCTCAAGTAAGCTGGATATAGATGTAGAAAAGTTTGCTACAGCAAATATTAAAAAAAAAAAAAAATCACTCTTTTGAAAGAGAAGTTATCTTGAGAGTTCTGCAAAAGGCTTGGTGACTATGCCAAATTTAAAAATTAACAGTGCCAGTAGCATTCTCAGAAAAGCAGGTCTTCATCTGAGTTGTTCCAGCTTCACAGCTAAAAGGTAGACTGGGGCAGTGGTGTAGGTTTTGCTAGCTTGTGAACCTGCTCAGATGGTGATGCTGTACATTGGTCACAGAGCCAGCTTGTAACACTTGCCTGAAGCATGGTGTTCCTATAGACAGCACCACCACCCCACAGAGAGCATCATCTGCAAGTAACCAGTGCTGCTTCTGCCATTACTGCCAAACACAACAGCACAATCCCTAGCTGCAACCCCAGAGGAGTGTGGCAGTGTCAGTCCTTCTGATGGCAGGCATCTAAACTGTAATTAGATCAAACTCCTCAAGTATAACCCACCAAGTGCACTGCTCTTGCACTTCACCTGCAGGTTGAAAAGGAAGCCAAGCAAATGCAGTATTATTGCATCTTGCTCCTCTGAAGTGTCACTTCTCTCTGTAACCTTGTGTGAGATGAGCAATACATTTACCAAGAGACCTCACCATAACATCAGTGACTCCACTCCTCAGCACTTTGTGAGAACCATCCCTGAAAAGCTTTCACTTTAACCTACAGACAAAAACACCAACTTAGCTAAATGCAGGCCAGTAGCAGTAGAAGTAATTCAGTACTTACACAGCATTTCTCAATCATTTTCTAGTGATGAAGAACAGGTGCAGGATACTTTATATATTGAATAGAGGTGTGCAAAACAAGTGAATACTACTGGTGTTTTGTTCATCATGAAGGATGGTCTACCTACTGCAGATGTCAATTTGATGTTAACTTCAAGCATTTGATTAGTTCAAGAGCAGGAGCCATAACAGAAACCATTTCCACCTAGTCAGATGCTTCCAAGACCATCACCAATTTACAATACACCTCTAGGCTTGTTGCCCGTGCAAGTTACAGAATTTACAATATGCACCCTCTGAGCTGGACACAAACCCACCTGAGAATTTGAGTATGCTTTGCAATGCTTTTATTTTCATGCTTTCCTAGCTACATCTCACCAATTACCTTCAACAATACCATCAAAAACAACAACAAAAAAATCTGCTCTACTTGCAGTTTTCTTGAAGAGCCCTAAACAAAAACAAAGAACCCCATATCCCACTCAGATGATGTATTTGAAACTGAAAGTGCTATCGCAGGAGAGGCGTTTCCCTTTGCATCTCCCACAGAGGTCCTGGCGGTGGGGCCTCTTGGGATCCACGTGGCGCATCTTCACGGGGCAGGTGCACCGCGTCTGCTTGCAGCTCTGAGGGAGGGGAGAAGGCGGCGGTCAGCGCGGGCAGCCGGGCCCGGGAGAGGCCGGGCTCAGGGCAGGGCAGGGTCCCTTACCTGGCAGGTGATGTCCTCCACGCGGTACGGGTTGTAGGGCTTTTGGCAGGTCCGGCAGAACTGACGGAAATAGACCTGTGAGGAAGGCCGGGGTCAGCAGGAGGGCGGCGGCGAGGAGCGCTCGCCGGGGCAATCCGAGCCGACCCTACCTTGTTGGTGCCCTGCACGCACCAGACGTAGGCGCTCTCCCAGCGGATGTTGCAGGCCTTGCAGTGGTAGTACCCGTACTTCTGCTCCAGGAACTGACGGGGAAAATGTTATTCGACGGTGCGGCCCCTCCCGGGCCTGCCCGGCCCCGTTCCGCTCCCCCGCGGCCGACACTCACCTGGAAGCGCAGGCGGATCTTGCCTGCCGACGCCTGCTGCTGCTTCTGGGGTGAGGCCGGGGATTCTGCCGGCTCTGCCGCCCCTGCCTGGGCTGATGGCTCTGCTGCCCCTGCCTGGGCTGACGGCTCTGCCAGGGCTGACGGCTCTGCTGCCCCTGCCTGGGCTGAAGGCTCTACCAGCTGCTCCTGGCTTGCCTCCGTCGCCGGCTCCGGGGGGGCGGCCGAGCGCTGCCCGAGTGGCTCGGCCCAGCGCTGCTCCAGCGGCTCGGCGCCAACCTCGGGGGGCTTCTCCCAGCTCGCCCTCACGGCAGCCGCCTCCGCCGCAGCCTCCGCCGCCCTCTGCTCCCTCAGAGCGGCCGGCTCTTCCTCGACGGCCGGCACCTTGTCCTGCTGCTGCGGCTGCCACTCCGGCTCCGGGCTCGGCTCCTCCAGGAAGGCGGTGAGTCTGCGGGACGCCACGGGCGAGTAGACGGCGATGGTGCGGGGGAAGCGCACTGCGCGGGTGTTGGTGGTGGCGGGGCTGCCCAGCTCCTGCTCTCGCTGCGCCTCACGGGGCTGCGGCGCGGCGGAGCCGGGGCGGCGGCGCAGCAGCGTGCGGCGCCCGAGCGAGCACTGCACCGAGGCGTCCTGCCGCGGGTTCACCTGCACGCCCACCTCCTTGGTGTTGGCCTTGCGGAGCCGCGGCGTCAGGTTGGGGTTGACCTGGGACAGGATGGCCTTCAGCTGCTCCCGCTGGTAGTTGTCGAAGTACTCGGCGGCCGCCTCCCCGTAGCCCGAGTAGTAGCTGCTGCTGCCCCGCGGGCGCCAGTCACTCGCCGCCCCTCCTCTGCCCTTGGGCGGTGGGTAGCGGTAGGAGTAGGGGTGGTAGGTGGTGTAGAGGTAGCTCGCCATCGCTTCCTCGGCCATCGCACCGGACCCGGGGCAACCCCCGGACAGTGGCCTTAAATACCCCCGGGGCGGGGCCCGGCTCCCCTGGCCTCTCACCATCCCCACCTGGTGCGCGGCCCTGGGCCATCCCCCACCCCCCTCACAGCTCCCCAGCTGAAACAGGTAGCGCGGCTATTAACTGCTTCCGAGGGAGTAAACAGGGGAGAACACGGGTTTGGTTTGGCTTCGCCATGTATTTGTGGTGACAACAATGAGAACAATGCTTTACAGCAGATGGGAGGCACAGAGATACACATGCCACGTGGTTTTTCCTGTCATCTGAACTGACAGTGAGTTGGTGTTTACTCTGTAGAACCCTGTTTCTTCCTTCTACCCATTCCTGCTGCACTCAGCCAGGCAGCAGCTTTCTTGCATGAAGTTTTACAGTTACTGGTTTGTGTTGCAGTGATGCTTGTTCTTTTTTTTCTTTTTTTTTTTTTTTCTTCACATTTACTTTTGAGTCATGGTAATAAACACATATCACCTTGTACAATGGGAGTAGCTGGAGAAACGATAGAGGCTGGGCAGCTCCACTTGCACAGCAGCGAGCACAGCCCCAGCCTGGTTGCAAGCACAACACACATTCACGTCTCTGGGAGTTACCTCTTTGTCCTGCCTAAAGCGCCGTCTGAGTCGGCTCCATCTGAATGGAGTTGTGCTCCTCTGTGGTCACTGTGCCATATGAAGTATCAGCTACCTCCTCTTCCTTCAGCTTCTTGTAGGAAATATCTGTGTCTTCCTCTTCACCAAGTGCATCTTGCTTGTAGCTGTCTTTTCCGTACATCTTGTATGCCAGCACAAACAGTCCCGCTTCTGCTGACTGGAAAAGCGCATAAAGCAAGGGAAACATGTACATGCTCCCTATGAGCTCCGGGGAGAAGGTGAGCTTTAGGATGGCGGTGCAGAGCTGGACGTTTTGGCACCCTGTTTCCAAAGATACTGTTCTCCTGCAGTGTGGGGGCATTTTAAAGACCGTGGCTAAGCCGTATCCCAGGGCGTACCCTGCCAGAGGCATCAGCACTGCAATGGCATAGACAGACGCAGGAATCTGTGCCAACAGGTCTGGGCCCAGCATGGTCCCAGTCAGGATGAACAGGACCACCAGAGTCACCAAGAGGGACCACAGGGAAATCTGGCAACAGATAGAGATATTGATAAACAACATGAGGGCTAATATTTTGAAAGGATAAGCACAGCAGTTAGAGGCTTGCTAAAGAATCTAAATGGCCCAACGTGTTTGCACTGCCCTTCCCAGGTTTGCTCCTGGCCTGGGATTTTGGTAGTGTTTGATCATATCTCAGGAAAGGAATGGGCTGAGGTCATCCTCCATCATTTTGCTTTGGGATGACTTGCTGAGAAACAAGAGTTGGGACTTGTGCCTCATTGTTCCTTTTTCAATGAAGCTAATTTAGTTGCACATTTTAAGGAAGTGTGGCTGTGCCTGCAGGTTGGTTTTGCCTGATCTGGGTGCAACAAGACTGGGGAGAAAGTAGGATGTCAGAGAAGGCCTCTGCTACAGGGTCCAGGATGCCTGCTGGGGTAGAGCACCACGCTGCCCTGCCTCCTGTGTGCTGCGATAGGGGGGGTCACCCGCCCTTTCTCTCCCTTTCTCTGTCCCATCGTTTTATTTCAGGACTAAAAGTCTTTGTATTTCACCTAAGTAGCTGAACGTGCTTGTGTGACACTAACACCAGTTTGGAGAGACCACAACGCTCGCTGCCATCGGCTCCCGGTCCCGGGTGCCGCCCGCTCCTTCCCCGCG